GAGCACTGAAAGTTGAGCAAAGTGGTACTGGGCTGAAAGCACTAATGATTTCCCCACCAAGAAATGGGTATCTTTGGGACCTGGAAGAAAATCCGTTTTCTGAAGCTATTTAAGGAGAACACATTATATAAGTCTGTAAAAAAAATTAGGATTAGTTATACTGAAGATGGGCTTCCCCTGTAGCACTAGTGGTAAAGAACCCGCCCGCCAATGCAGGAGACATAAGAGACATAGTTTCCATCCCTGGGTCCGGAAGGTCCCGTGGAGGAGGGCATGGCAACCCACTCCAGTATTGTTTCCTGGAGATTCCTATGGACAGAGGAGCCTGGCAGGTTATGATTCGAGGGTCACAAAGAATCAGACACGACTGAAGTGACTTAGTGTGCATGCACACATGCCTACATGCATACTGAAGACAGAAATATTAGACCAGACCTTTTTTTTTTTTTGGTAGAAGAGCTATTTTTTAAAGAGAAATCTTGCATGAAACAGATCAATGGAAAGTGATGCTGTTTGTGTTAAGAAATGGTATGGCCCTAGTGCCATTTACTCTCTGCCCAACACTTAATACCCCAGTGGCCCTAAGATCACCATATGAGACACAAGGACCCTGTTGAAATTTGTTTGAAAGGAACTAAAACCAATAAAGCACGTTCTAACTTTCTACAGAAAGTTACGGGTGCTTGGAGGTCTTTTTTAAATGGCAGTTCAGCCTTGAGGATTTTGAGAGAGTGCCGTTTTCTTTTCTTGGTTCAGGTTTTTGTTTTGTTTTGACTGTGCTGGGTCTTCGTTGCTTCATGGGCTTAGCTCTAGTTGAGGTGAGTGGGAGGTACTCTCTAGTTGCAGTGCATGGGCTCCTCATTGCAGTGGCTCTCTCGTGGAGCACAGGCTCCCGAGTACAAGCTTAATAGTTGTGGTGCATGGGCCTAGTTGCTCCTCAGCATATTTGATCTTCCCAGATAGGGACTGAACTCATGTCTCCTGCAGTGGCAGGCGGTTTCTTTACCGCTGAGCCACCGGGGAAGCCCCTCTTGGATTAAATGTGTGAAGCAGTGTTATTTCTGAGCTTAAGTCCTATTCTCCTGTGTATTGTCAAATGGCACTCTTGCATCCACTCTCTTAGCACATTTGTTACTATGTGTACCAATGTATAAGGGGAAAAACAGTTGAAAATTTTAATTTTTTGGTAAATTTATTTAATTTGCTTTAAATAAAGTTCCAGTAAATGAAATTAGCAGTTTTACTTCATTAATGGTCAATGAAATTAAGTGTTTACTTTATTAACTCTTAAAAAAAAATTCTTTACAAAAAGGAGAACATCTTATAACCACCAAGACTGTCATCCTAATATTACTTCATAAATAATCATTTACTTTGGGATTCTCTCTATACAAAAAGAACAAAATGTATTCTGGCATCTCTTTAACACTCATGTATTATTATGGTTTAATAATTTATAAAGTTTACATGAAATTTTTAAATATATGAAGATTTCATGGTTGACAACTTCTAGCCTCATGATGGTGAACTGATCACCTGCTGTTCATACCAAGGTCATGTAATTGGTAAAAATATTATAAAAATGCACACAACTTCATTGAAAATCAAGCACAGCCTTCAACTTAGGATGATTCAACTTATGATTTTTTGACTTTATTATGGTGTTGAGGTGATCATGCATTCAACAGAAATTGTACTTTGAATTTTGATCTTTTCCTGGGTGATAGGTGGTACAATCTTATCTCATGATGCTGGGCAGGGCAGCAAGTCACAGCTCCGAGTCAGGCAAGTGATTATGAGGGTAAACAACCGACACACTGCTTGCAACAGTTCCATACCCAGACCGCCGTTCGGTTTTTCACTTTCAGCACGTTATTCAATAAATTACATGAGATATTTAACACTTCACCATAAAACAGGTTTTGTGTTAGATGATTTTGCCCAGTTAGGATAAAAGAAGTGTTCTGAGCACAATTAAGATTGGCTATGCTAAGATAAGATGTTCTGTAGGTTGGTTTTACCAACTGCAACATCACACACAACTTAGTGAGGGAACAGCAACAACAATATAACAATAGTTTTAGCTTACGATGGGCTTATTGGGATATAATCTCATCATAAACTGAGGAAGATCTATACAGCCAGATTGTATTTAAAAAATATACCTACATTTTTTACAAGAAATATCTTAAAGAAAAATAACACAGAACAGTTGAAAATACAGGAATGCAGTGGCTATCATGGAAAACAACATGAAGATTTTTCAAAAAATTAAAAATAGAACTACCATATTATCTAATGCTTTCATTCCTCGTGATATTATCAGAAGAAAACAAAAAGCTATAGAAAATATATAAGTACCCCTATGTTCACTGTAGCATTATTTACAATAGCCAAAATATGAAAGCAACATTAGTGCCCATCAGTAGATGAATGGATAAGGAAAACATGATATATACATATATAATGGAATATTACTTGCCATGAAAAAGAATGAAACCTTGCCATTTCTGACAACATGAATGGAACTAGAGAGTGTTATGCTAAGTGAAATAAGTCAGATACAGAGAGACAAATAACGGATTATTTTACTTACATGTGGAATAAAAAAGAACAAATGAAAAACATAACAAAAATATAAATACAATTACAGATACAGAGAACAGGTGTTTGCCACAGGAGAGGCAGTTGGAGGGAGGGAAGAAAGGGTGAGAGAGATTTAGTGTCAGTTCAGTTGCTCAGTTGTGTCCGACTCTTTGCAACCCCATGGACTGAGGCACACCAGTCTTCCCTCTCCATCACCAACTCCCAGAGCTTGCTCAAACTCATGTCCATCAAGTTGGTGATGCCATCCAGCCATCTCATCCTCTGTCGTCCCCTTCTCCTCCTGCCTTCAATCTTGCCCAGCATCAGGGTCTTTTCCAGTGAGTCAGTTCTTAGCATCAGGTGGCCAAAGTACTGAAGTTTCAGCTTCAGCATCAGTCCTTCCAAGGAATATTCAGGACTTATTTCCTTTAGGATTGCCTGGTTGGATCTCTTTACAGTCCAAGGGACTCCCAAGAGTCTTCTCCAACGCCACAGGTCAAAAGCATCAATTTTTCTGCACTCAGCTTTCTTTATAGTCCAACTCTCACATCCGTGCATGACTACTGGAAAAGCCATAGCTTTGACTAGATGGACATTTTTTGGCAAGGTAATGTCTCTGCTTTTTAATATGCTGCCTAGGTTGGTCACAGCTTTTCTTCCAAGAAGCAAGTGTCTTTTAATTTCATGGCTGGAGTCACCATCTACAGTGATTTTGGAGCCCCCCAAAATAAAATTCTGTTACTGTTTCCATTGTTTCCCCATCTATTTGCCATGAAGTGATGGGACTGAAATATATGATCTTAGTTTTCTCAATGTTGAGTTTTAAGCCAACTTTTTCACTCTCCTCTTTCACTTTCATCAAGAGGCTCTTTAGTTCTTCTTTGCTTTCTGCCATAAGGGTGGTGTCATCTGCATATCTGAGGTTATTGATATTTCTCCCTGCGGTCTTGATTCCAGCTTGTGCTTCATCCAGCCCAGCATTTCTCATGATGTATTCTGCATATAAGTTAAATAATCAGGGTACATAAAAGGGTGGATATAAGTTAAATAAGCAAAGTACAGCTTTGACATACTCCTTTCCCAATTTGGAATCAGTCTGTTGTTTCATGTAAGGTTCTAACTGTTGCTTCTGGACCTGCATACAGATTTCTCAGGGGGAAGGTAAGGCAGTCTGGTATTCCCATCTCTTGAAGGATTTTCCATAGTTTGTTGTGTCCACATAGTCAAAGGCTTTGGTGTAGTCAATAAAGCAGAAGTAGATGTTTTTCTGGAACTCTGTTGCTTCTTTTGATGATTCAACGGATGTTGGCAATTTGATCTCTGGTTCCTCTGCCTTTTCTAAATCCAGCTTGAACGTCTGGAAATTCACAGTTCACGTACTGTTGAAGCCTGGTTTGAAGAATTTTGAGCATTACTTTGCTAGAGTGTGAGATGAGTGCAATTGTGTGGTAGTTTGAACATTCTTTGGCAGTTTGAGATCATAGATGTTCACTAATCTTATTGTGATGACCACTTCATGACACGTGAGTCAAATAATTATGCGGTACACCTTAAACTTATATAATGCTGAATGTCAATTATATATCAATGAAACTGGAAGAAAAAGAGGTAATCATAAAGCTAAAAAACACAGGAATTAAAGAAAAATTTACAAAGTAAATGCTAACAAAAAGAGACTAAGCAATATTGGTGGTCATTTAGTCACTAAGTCGTGTCCGACTCTTGAGACTCCCTAGACTGTAGCCACCAGGCTCCTCTGTCCATGGGATTTCCCAGGCAAGAATACTGGAGTGGGTTGCCATTTCCTTCTCCAGGAGATCTTCCTATCCCAGGAATTGAACCCAGGTCTCCTGCATTGCAGGCAGATTCTTTACCAACTGAGCTACAAGGGAAGCTGTCAGACAAAATGTAATTCAAAGTGAAAATACACTATCAGACAAAAAAGAATTCTAGGATGAAAAAAGGTACTTCATGTTAAGGAGAGTAACAAGTCACTGAAAATATACAGCATCATGTGCTTTTTTTTTTTTTTTTTTTATGGTTTTAAAAATTTAATAGATGCACTTTTTTAAAAGGAACTCTCTTCTGTGTGTGTGTATATATATATATATATATATATATATACACCAGTCAGTCGTACTCACTGTCAGGGAAAGGTAGTCTGATGAGTCTGATATAATAAATAAAAATTTAATTTAAAACTTCTCTTTATATTCAAATGGAAAAAGTTGTTTTTAACTCTGTTAGATGGGAAACACAAAGTGGGGTAACTCATCTTTTTGACAATAATCTTCCCTTTCAACAGTGTCAAATTCTTTGAAAGTCAAGGTAATTCCTTGTAAATAAGGCTTTTAACAAATTACAAGTATATAGTAGTAGGTTCTTGTTCATCTTCATCATAAGTACTTGTTGCACTATTGCATAGCAACAATTTTTTTTTTCTGCTTCTTCTTCTTTGGTGGAAGTCTGAGAGTCTGAAATTTACATTGGCTTGGTTGAGCTTGGGAATTTTTCTGGTACCAGGGGTGCAAATATCCATTGTAGAAATCAGTAGCTGTTAGTGTTTTCTTGAGCATCAGTGATCGAACACCAATCCAGTCATCCTTGCAACAAACCAGCAGTATTTGTGACTGTTTGTGGTATATTACTAATCCTGGAATAACAGCTTGTCCTGTTAATTTTGAATCACTGAGGATTGAACTATCAACTTCTACCAAATCCAGAAGTTTAATGGTATTATCCATCCAGAGTGTCTGCAACGGGATTATATTTCCAACGGCACGATAAAGTCTGAATATGTGCTCTGAAGTTTGTTCCTCCCATTTTATACAGCTAGTAGCAGCAGAAATCTTAGGTGCGTGCGTCACCCCCTCGGCTGGCTGCTGTCTTCCGTTGTTCAAACTTTCAGGCAAATTTTTCAAAACTGAAATAAGCATGTTGGCGCCCAGTCTTGACAGCACGGCTTCCAATTCCTTTGAGGTGCTCTTGGGCGGCACAGGAACCGTTTCCTGTTTGAGGATTGGGCCTACATCGAACCTTTTAGGTTTAATCTGCATAATCGTCACTCCAGCAACTGTGTCTCCGTGGAGGATGGTGTGGATTATAGGGGCTGGACCACGCCACCTCGGAAGGCAACTGGGATGGACATTCAAGATGCCGTAGGGAAATTTAAGAATAAGAGCCTCACTCAAAAGTCGGCCAAATGATGCTACCACGCCAACATCGTATTCTCCAGATCCCACATCTGGCCACTCATACACTGGAAGCTGAGACTGGACAGCATATTGCTTCACGGGCAGTCCTTTCGGTGATGGGGAGGGCACTGTGACCACCTCCAACTTCTCAATTAACTCTTCCTCTTTGTTTTCCCTGGCGGCGTGCAGCGCCCGCAGCGTTTCGCGGGCGAACTGATCAGTGCCGAAAAAGAGCACCCTCCAAGGAGGCTTCTCGCGCACGCGAGCGCCCTGGCCGTCCTCCCAGCCAGGGGCCGCGCTCAGCCTGGCCAGCGCTCGCCAGCGCGGGTTCGGCCTCTGGCCCGCGCCGCCCGCGACTGGCAGGGGTCCGCAGCAGCACCGCACCAGCACCCATCATGTGCTTTTAATGCACCTGATAATGTAGCTTTGACAAAGAGGTTTGAGGACATAGGTCATAGCATTGTTGATGGTTATAAAACATAAAATTAAAACAAAACTGAAAAGAGCCTAAAAGTCCATCAACTGATGATTGGCTAAGTATGCTGTGGAATATTAATACTTTGAAGTATTTTGTAACAGAGAATGAGGTCAGTCAGTGTCCTAACATAGCTGGCTCTCTAAAATGTATTGTTGTCTGAGAAAGCAACTTTGCAGAAAGATGTGTGCAATAATATAAAACCACTTATGTTAACACACACAATGTTGCTATGTATTTAGTTTGGATACAGAAGTCTTTATGTAAATAAATAAGGAAAAAGTCAGAAAAGAACACTTACGAAAGGCATAACTGTGATAACCTCTGGGGAGGGAAAAAGAAGTGGACGGGTTGGGATGCTTAATCGGAAGGGAGTCAAGATTTTATTTGGAATGCTTCCAAAGAGAAATTAATTTCATTCTTACTCATGTTATGAAATTTTAAAAAAAGATTCAGTGATTTCGGAAAGTTTTGAAAGCCCTGTACTAGTTGATATGTCAAATTGGACGCCTTTGGATGCAAATACCACAAAACCTAGTCTAACGACAAGGCTTGAGAAGTAGTGCAGTTTATATTATGTTGTGTAACAAGATGTTCTGCAGAGTAGGGGGTTAATCGAGTACAGAGTTCAACTGTGTCATGGAGGACCCAGCTTCTTTCTATTAATTTGCTTCAACACATTTTGAAGAAATTTACTTCAAATTCTCTTTGCATCTCTTGAGAATGCTTAATCCTCAGGCTCAAAGCAAGATCATGCCAGCAGTTTCAAGCAACAACATTCATAATAAAATAATAAACAACAGTTATATAGTGCTTTCTGTGTGTCAGGGTTTTACATATGTTAATCCATTTTCTGTTCTCATAACTCTTTTTGCTGATAAAAAAACAGAGGCACTGAAATTTGCGGAATGTTACATAACTGTAAGTGGTAGATTCAAATCCAGTCAGTCTGGCACAAGAATATGTGCAATTAATCTCTGTACTTTATATGTTTTCCCTGTGACTTTTTTTTTCTTTCTTGTCTTTTCTTGTAGTTTTCTCTAAGAAGTAAGGAGATTTTCCCCAGAAAAACAGCAGACAATTCTACATGTCTTTGCAGATGCCCACTCCTGAACCAATAAATTACCCTCAGCCCAAACAGACCACTTCTGGAATAGAGTGGGGTCACCTGCCCCCAGGGACATTGCTGTGTGGGTAAGTGCAGGCACATGAACCAAATCTGGGCCCTCTTTGGACAGAAAAGGGAGCTGAGGGGCCTGATGCTGAAAGGATAACCAGCAGTCTCCAGTGAGGGTAGCTACTACTAGTCCTTTGTAGCTCAATGACTCATTCATTTGAATGCCTGTTATGTTGGGCATACAAGTGAAAATTTCCAGGAAGAATATATGATTTGAATCTTGAGGAGGAGAATCTAGGCTAGAGATAGAGATCTAAGTATTGCCAATGCAGAGATTGTAATTAAGTAACCAGGATGGAGAGAATTCCCACAGAAGATAGTCTAGAGTTTTGAGAGAAGAGGGTCTAATATGAGATTTAGTGTTTGCTAAGATTTACTGTTTCCTTCTTCCATGTTATTAGATTAAAAGTAATATGATTTTAAAAAAAGCTTTAACTGTATCTAGTATACTTAATTGCTATTAATAAAATACCCACTCATTTGTTCATTCATTTAATTTGTTTATTAGTTTATTTACTTTATTCTAAACATCATAAATAATCTTGTTCTTCACAAATCCAAGATGTTGAAGGGTCCAATAATCAAACTTTCATAAAAGTAACCTAAAGCTGTCCCTAGCTAAATACAAAGGGTGAAGTAACTTTGCAGCAGAGACAATAAGAGTTGCATTTGGTACATGTAGCCTACCAACTTTCCCTTGGCTGTCTCCTGTGCTCATCCATCTTCAAGAGAGAACTCCTCAGTGGGTGTTAGTTGGGCTAATCCAACAAGCCCCATAGCTCAGTGGTTAAATCCAATAACAGTTTATTTCTGGTTTACACTGTAGTCCAGTTCGGTACAGCAGGGATCAGTTCCTTCCATTCAGCAGCTCCACTAAGACCTTGAACCCCAAAGTCTGCCCCTAGATCCTCATCATTTGGCTAGGAAATGACAAAAAAGAAAAGAGCATAGAGAATTGCATAGGAGGCCTTATGGGCCAAGCGTTGGTGTGGTAGATACCACTTCTGATCCATATTCTATTGGCTGGGGCTCAGTCACATGATCACAGTGAATGCAAGGAAGTTTGGGAAATTCAGTTTGTAGCCATGTGCCAGGAAGAAGAAGAAAATGGGGTTGGTGGGTACCTGGTTAGTCTCTGACCTACAATGGATTGAGTGAAACACTTCTGCCATGTTAAAATGTAATGTTTTTATTTATTTGGTGTTTTTACTGTTTCTCTCCAATATCTTGTACGCATTTATGACATCTTTCTTATGTTGTATCCTTCCTTCCTAGTTATAGATTGATCATTATTCGTATTTCATGCTTTTAATTATTTGGAGTCCTCCCAGTTTTGCTTTTGCAGTCTGTAGCTATTTTCTTCTTTCTTCAGAGTTCTCTGCCTTCCATATTTTGGACTTGCATTTCAGCCAGAATACGTTTATCTTTCTTACAGTGCTTCAGTAAAATTTGTTTCTGTTTCCTATAGTTTTTACGTATGGATCAGTTATTTCATGCATCACAAAACTTTTAAACCTTGCAGTAAATGGACATTCAAAATACATTATTTGATTAATTAAATAAAACCTCAGACATGCACCCAACTCTTAGAACCACCTTAACGTCTTACACTGAGTTCAAAGCAGATAAATTGTATTTAACATTATGAATTGTGGAAATTATAAGCTTGATTTTTAAAAGATTAAATACATGCTCAGAAACACAATCACTCTTGAGAAACAATCATTATGTACCCATCAACTGTCACTGTTAGCATTTAAAAATTAACCATGTACATGGTTTTCATGTAATCCTGGCAAGATCAGGTAAAAACCACACCCAGCCAAACCTCAGAGAGACATACTTGAGCAATTCAAATATATTGATATTATTTTTTCCATTGTTGTCGTTACTGTCAAGATCAATGAGGTGCTTAGGGACAGATAAAGCCATAGCTGTTGCAATCAGCTGTACCCTTATAGCTTCAAGAAACAAGCCCCAGCAGTGGCGACCAGCATAGTCCCAGGGAGTGACAAGTCCTAACAAGGGCACCTTGGCAGAGCACCCTCTGGGTCCCTCCCTGAAGACAAATCAGTAGCTTGATTAGGTGGGGCTGGGGCCAAGCCTCCCTGGGGTGGGGCTGGGGCTGGGCTGGGGCTGGGCTGGGCCTGGGTGGCGGCAGTCTCTTAAGTGCCAGCTTTCATCGGCTTGGCTACACTCCATTCTATTACTCTGCCTAGGTGACTTGACTCAAAGCCAGGTGAAGCAGTTTGGGAACCACAAACAGGGCACCTGATAATTAGCTACCATTTTATAAGAGTGAGTCGTAGGGTCATCAGTCCCCATTTTACAGGCCTGTGTGAGGTCATGCTAAGTCGCTTCAGTCGTGCCAGCTCTATGAGACCCTATGGACTGTAGCCCACCAGACTCCTCTGTTCATGGGATTCTCCAGACAAGAATACTGGAGTGGGTTGCCATGCCCTCCCCCAGGGGATCTTCCTGACCCAGAGCTCAAACCCGCATCTCTTATTTTGGCAGGTGGGTTCTTTACCCGCTGAACCACCCGGAAGTCCTATAGCAGAGCTTCTGGCTCACTATCGGGACAGCAGAGTGGTGGCTGCCGCTCTTCACGGCAGAGCAAACGTGGCAATGTTAGATTTCACCGAAAATTGTGACCCTCATTTGCCCAACACTTGATCAACATTTGACTACTCACATCATGTCACACAAATGATGTGTAGTATATCTTAGGGTTTTTTTTTTTTTAATTTGTTTAAATGACTTGTTTTATGGTTTGCTCTGAAGCCAGAATTAGATTCTTAACTGCTGTGTGAAAAGAATTCTGAGCAGAATTATATCTAACCTGGCTATTTCGTTATCTGCTAGATCTAAGTACGTCTTCCTCATATTGTTCTCATCTCAGTGAGATAATTAATTAGCAATTCCAGGAGGTGTTTGTGGAAAAGCAAGGTTTTGGGGGGTGGGGATCCTGTGCCAAACAAATGCCCAAAATGAAAAAGAAGAGTTCATCATTTTATCACCTGTCTCTTGGAAAATATAAACCTTGTTTTCCTGTAGCCAGATTTCCTGAAGGCAAATAGGAAACCGGGAGAATCAGATGGAGATGTTAGCAAACAGTTTAACCCTGTGTGCCAATCCCTGGGGGAGGGGAGAGTGGGAAGGAGGGAGAGGGGAGGGGGAACGGGGAGGGGGAGGGGATTACCCTCGTGG